ATGCATTTCAAAAAACATAAATGCTATTTTTTTTCAATTATTTTTATACATTTGGATGCATTGTGTTGCAAAAACAAATACATACATTAGCTTGTACTACTCACAGTATTTTCGTTTTTATTTAATTTTGTGAAAACTGGTTATGAAAGTAGATAGTCTAACCTTTATTATGAAATAAATAATACGCAGTATCGATGAGTAGAGAGTACCTAAAATCATTCGTTTATATTAATAAGGGTTTGTTTTTTTTTTAACTACAACAATCGCGGAAATTGTCAAATGTCACGCCCATACGCAAACCGTAAAAAGATGGGAAGAAGGGAAAGGATGTAAACTTGCCAGGGAACAACAAGACGAAACTGTAGAGCATGTCCTATGTGAATGCCCAGAAATGGCAGGATGGACAATGAGCTAAGGGTGACAACTCCCTGGGAGAATGCACAATGGGTCAATTGTAGCCTAACTGCTGTGAAACTTAACTCGCCCTCCCTACTCTACAGATATAGATACAGAAGGGTATGTTTTAAAAAAAGTCGGTCAGATAGCCAAGCGGGCTGGGCGGTCGGTTCTCATTCGCTTCACTGCGAGTGGTTCAGTGCGCTCGATCCCCAGCTCGGTGTACAGAAAACAAAAATGCTAATGCAGCAGTTTAAAATTCTAGATGAATCTGCGGCTTAGGCTAGAATATGCTGGTGTCTGGTCGGCCTGTGGTGGAGCAGTACGGCAAGAGATAAGGGCTTGCGGCTCGGTGATACTCCTCCATAGATCCCTACCGGAAGGGCGTGCCGCCTAAATACCGGCATATATATATATATATATATATATATATATATATATATATATATATATATATATATATATATATATATTATAGGTTTTAAAAAATGGTTCAATATTCATAATTGCTGCTATTACAAAAATCACTTGAATTATAAAAATAAAGAATTCACAAATCGTACAAAAAAGTGTAGTAAAATCTCAAAACTAAACGCAGCCAAAACTTGTTACGAAGTTACAGCTGTCAAATTTATTTGGTTTAGTTATTAGGGGAGGGGATAGCACCAGATAACGTCACATATAACTATCCACTTAATGCCCGGAATACATGAGGCTAGTTTTTCAAGCTAGGATAGCAAGCCAACGCTTTTAAACTAGCAAGGTAGTATTGCTAGCTTCATGTATATAGAACTAGCTTCGTGTGTAGGCTTGTAAGCTAGTGAGAAAGACAGTAAGCCAGTGTCTTAAGTTAGGATAGTTTAATAGCATGGTTTTACTATCCTGGCTTGTGTACCACCCTTGTCTGGCCGGCAAACAGTGTTTTCGAACGGCAAGTGCGTAGTGTCGACCTGTTTTATTTTTTCAAAGAGATAACCACGTGCTTCTAAATCTTATATGCCAAAATTAAGTGCCGAAATTATTTTAAAGTTTGTACAAATATATCGTAAGGAAGAATGTCTGTGGAACGCCACTATTCCATCATATAAAGGTAAGTGTATTCTTGATTCAGCACTACAAAAAATATGTGGCAAATTATTAGAACTCGACATAGAAATGTCTATCAAAGACATAAAGATAAAAATTTACGAGCAACTTACTGTCAGGAACTGTCAAAAATTGAAAAATCAACCAGTTCTAGAGCAGGTTCCAAGGACGAGGATAAGTCAAAATTAAACTGGTTTGATGAAATGTACAGTTTTATTAAATGTGAACCAATGAAAAGAAAAACAACGGTAAGTAAGATTGCATTATTTATTTATTTATAGTAAAGAAAATGGGTGTGAAGACACAGGGAAATTTTGAAAGCAGGGTGATTTCTCTGTAGCGCGCACATAAATAAACAGTCAAGAAATCATTTTTAATTGCCAAGGCTAATTACTGACATCTCAGAATGATTACTCCCTTGTTGATATAAGCCTTCAAGTCCTGCAGTTCTGTTCTCCAAGAGCCATTGGAGCTGTTTCCTGCATTAATATCGTCCCGGTCGAAATCACTGCTGATTAAATAATTTCGATTTTCGTTTCTCAACCAATTATGTAAAGCACATGCTGCCCATACAATTTTGTCGACTGTTTCTACATTGGTTGCAATTGGTTTTTGAAACACACGAAATCTGCCTACCAATATACCAAAGGCATTTCCCACTATTCATTTCGCTCTGAATAGTAGGTAGTTGTAAACTTTCTGTTCCAATGTTAAATTGTCACCAGGGTAAGGTTTCATAATATAGGTTTTAAATGGAAATACGGCATCCGCAACAATCACTCCATCCTCTGGTAAAAGATTATTCTTCAGTTTGTTATATATGGAGCAATTTTTAAATACACTTCCATCTGATGCCATTCTACAAGCCCCAACATCAACATAACGAAAGCAATTGTCATCATCTACTAACGCCATAAGAACAATACTGAACACATTTCTATTACTAAAGTGTTTCTTTTTATTTTGTTGTAGGACAGACAAGAATCAGCAATATACGAAGAGCAAGATAACAGCCCAGTGAGCGAAGCCAACATTGAAGATAGCAAAGAAAATAATATTGACAACAGCTACAATGACCAGTGAAGACGTTTCACATTCTGAAAATTGTTCATCACGACCAGATAATAAACCACAACGCAACGAGTCTGCGACGCCAACTGCGAAAACTACTAGTAAATCAAACGATAAAATGTCAGCTTCAGCTCAGAAAAAGAGAAAAATTTCAGAAGTGGCATCTTTGGTTTAAGGAAATAAAGTCGATAAAGAATTATTTAAATAGTACACCTACGGATGAACATGATATTATGACTCGGGACAAAATCAATGCCATATTATCTCTGTCTCGCATGGAAGATCTGAACTACGTAAACACCACATTTACATACCAGACGCCTAGTAGTCATTGCTCTTTAGATTCACACACAACAATTAATACTGTACCATTGCCACTTACATCAGGAGAGTCGGATTTGTCAATTATTACAGAAAATGAAGCTAATAATTATCAACGACAAAATTCAATCGACGAGATTAATTTAGATTTTTTAGGCCAGGACTATGAGAATCCTATTGCTTTAGCATTTCGCAAAGCATAATTTTTTTATTATCTTATTTGTAGTTTTGCGATAAATAAATACATGATCGTTATCATTAATTATTATCATTAATACGTTATCATTAGTACTAACCTTTATATTTTCTTTCAATGCCTTGAAGATTTCTTCACATACCTCTGGTATGAATTGATCTAGCGAGATCTATTGATCTCGCAATAGTACTAGCTACTGGCTGAAAATTTCCTAGCCTCATGTAAACCGTTCTAGCATGCGCCAAGCCAGGATAGTAACTCAGGCTAGGATACCGGGATGTCTAGCTTGCTATACTAGTTTGAAAAACTAGCTTCGTGTAATCCGACCATTAGGGACAATAATCGGTCCGAAATGTTAGTTTTTAAAATTTTGGTTTTTGCCAGCTTTTTATGTTAAATTACCACTCTGTGCTGCGGGTAACAATTGAGAACAGCTTCGAAAGCTACCATATCAGCTGCCAAAAAAGCATCCCAAGAGCTATTATTATTGGATGAAAAAAAAAACAAAACATAAATAGATACATACAACTGAAAGTTTAGACTTTAAACATTCTAGTAGGAAGGCTTGGAGCAAATTGAAAAAACTTAGTGGTGTTTGGGCACCAGTGGCGGCTCGTGGTAGTAAAAAGGGTGTTCAATTAAGGAATGTAATTATACAAACGGTGAATAATCGTCACAGGCGAAAAATTTATTGGGTCTAACGCTTTTTTGTCTTCATTTGATATTATTTATTACTGTTGTTCCAATATAAATAAAACATAAACGAAATATGAGAAGTTTTATTGTCGTATACAATACATTAAATCAATGCGACCTGAAACAAAATTTCAACGTTAAAAATAGTAAAAAAATGTCTGTGTTTTTGTGTTTAATTTATTGAGTTTATTTATACAAAAAATCCATTTTTCGATTTTTGCCTTTGCAAAAAACATCAATAACACCATCATCATCATCACAGTCATTAACATCTTAGTAGATGTGTTGTGGTTCATAATTGGGCTTCAGCTTCAATAACACCAGCAAGTTGCAATTGTGGAAATCATGTCCTTTTCTATGCTTGACATAGCAAGTGAATTTATTATGTTCTGCTGATTGTAATCTCAGTAAAGATTTAATCCTTTTCAATAAAGAAAAACAATGTTCTTCTCAAGTTTTTCTTTTTGAAAAAATTATAGGTTCGCGTGACGGTATCAAAATCATCGGTAGGAAAGTCTTTTGCATATTCGTTGAATTTTTCAGAAAAAAAAGTTTTGAAACCAAAAGATGTTCTGTAAAATGAAACCTATCTTTGGTCTGATTAATCAGGATATCACACACTTTTTTTGTTTGTTCAGAATATGATACTGACTGATGGCGCTTCTTCGGTGGTGAAGGTGGACGATCTAAGTTACGAATATTTAAAATGGCTTTGTCAAAAGTTGGGGCATTATTTGAGGGGAAATGTAACACAATAATTTAAGTTTTCCCTGTTTGCTCAGTTTCTGTCCCATTATTACCTGAAACGTTTAGAAATTATTTATTTTAATTTGTTTTATTTTATTTTTATTAATTTTATTTTGTTTTAATTTATTTAATTTTAATGTTATTTATTTTATTTGAATTTAATTTGTTTTATTTTTATTTTATTGTATATTATTTTATTTTATGGGGCTACGTTTACTACTCCACGTAGTGTGGAGTACAGTCATTTTATTGGGTTGAAGTCGTTTTTATCTTATCATACGTCTGCGCGATCCACCGCACCGATCAATTCATTCCTTCCGTAGCCCGCTATAAGAAAGCTATTCCAATAAAAAATAATTGATTGTTTAAGTTTGAAATTTGCTATGTTTCTCCTATAACTGTTTTTGTCTTTAATTGTATTTTGTATTAAAGCTAATGTAAGTTTATTACTGATATTTGTGCTAAAAGCAGAAATTTTAACTTTTAGGTGAGTGGTTGAGTCCAAATGGCAAATCTATTCCAGTTGCTGTAAAAGTACTCAAAGCGGACGCTTTAAGTCAACCAGGAATCTTCGAGGACTTTATAAAAGAAGTTCAAGCAATGCATGTTCTAAGTCATCAGAATTTAATCAGGTATTGTTTTAAAAATTCATAAATATGTAAAATTATTATGTTTAAATCAAATGAAGGTCATAACTTGCCCAAAGAAAACAATATTTCCAAAATTTTTCAATCAATAGTTGAATTCTATCGTCAAAAAAGTACACCAGGAGGAATATACTCGAAAAATTAAACAGCAAAGCTGAAAATAAATAGATGAGGTTAAGTTTCAGGTATACAAATCAAATCTTCTTCTAATGGCGCTACAACCCTTTGCTGCTTTTGGCCTGCTTAATAACGATCTTCCATTCTGCCCTGTCGAATACTTTCCTTCGCCATTGCCTGATGTTCATGGTTTTAAGATCTTCATCTACATCGTGTATTCACCTTTTACGGGACCTTCCGCTTGTCCTATTTCCTTGGATTCCATCTTTTGATTACTTTTACAGCTCGATTATCTTGCATTCTTTCTAATCTAATTGGTCATGCCAGTTTAGTCTTTGTGACGTTACAAATCTAACGATATCTGCCAGCTCTTAGTTCATTTTTATTCTTCACTAACCATCGCTATTATGGGTTGGTTCAAATATATTTCTTAATATTTTGCTCTCAAATAATATTCTCAATTGATTTTCATCAGTGGTTGAAAGGGTCCACGTTTCACATCCGTATGTGACCGCTAGTCCAATTATTGTTTTATAGATTATAAGCTTAAACACACGATTCAGTAACTTACTTTTCATTAAGTCTTAGTATGCGTAAACGCACTTACCGCTGTGCGTAGTGCTTTTAGTTCTTGACTGACATTGTTGCTGTCATTTACTATTGAGCCTAGGTAAGTAAAGGTGGAGGCATATTCGTAGGTATGGTTGTCTACCTTCAGATTCTCATGTCGATTCGACTTTATGCACTTCCTATATTTTGTTTTCCTTTCATTTATATTTAGACCAAATGCAGCGGCTTCCCGTTTCAAATCTATAGCTTTGTCACTTTTATTAATTCAGCCGTTCATATCTAGTTTTTTGATAATGGCTTCCAAAGTTAGAATAAAAAGTGTTGTTGATAAGGATGATCACCTTGCCTAACTAATATCTCCATCTATTCTCACCGTGGTGGCGTTGAAACCCTCCAAAGTAATTTGTATAAGTTTTAATCTTTTTTTAGTTTCCACATTCCATATTCCTAATATGATTAGTTGTTTTAACATTTTTGTCTATCTGCTCCATTTTAAAATCAATATACAAGTTATAAATTGGTATGTTATTGACCACTCTATTATGTCTTCAAGAAAGTGCACCAAGAGGAATATACTTACAAAATTAAATAGAAAAGATGAAAATAAATAGATTTGAGGTTAACTTTGAGGTTTACAAATCATAAAACTTAACAATGAAATAGACAGAAAAAATAATGGATACCCACAATATTAAAAAATATATTTAAATGATGTGAACTCTCTGATTTCATTTATGAATCAAAAATCTAAAAAGAGAAATAATGATAAAATAACACAGGTATGAATATCATTGGAAAAAAAACATGATTGAATTAAACAAGTTTAGAAGAGAATTACTCAGGAATGCTTAATAAAAGGCATTAAAACGTGACAGTTGAGTGAGCGGACAAAAGTTTGGGGCTTTAGACATAACTGACAACCTAATATTATATGTGAATTTTGCTGAGTAAAATTTAATAAAATATGATAAAAAGGTTCTTCTTCTTCTTCTTCTTCAGATGCAAATCCACTAATGGATGTTAGCGATCACATTTTCCATTAATTCTCTATTTCTTGTAATATGTATCAGAGATTGTATGTCGTTAATCCCTGTCCATTGCCTTATGTTTCGGAGCCAGGACATTTTCTTGCGTCCCATTCCTCTCTTGCCTTCAATTTTACCCTCGATTATAAGTTGGACGAACTGGTATTTTTCATTTCGCATGATGTGACCTAGATACGCCGTTTTCCTTTTCTTGATGGTTTTGAAAAGTTGGCGTTCTTGGTTTATTCTTTTAAGGACATCTATATTTGTGATTTTCGCTGTCCATGGTATTTTTAGGATACGGCGATAAAGCCACATTTCGAAAGCTTCTAATCTGTTTATATCCCTCGTTTTGAGTGTCCAGCCCTCTACGCCATATAGCAGCACTGACCATACGTAGCACTTAGTAAACCTTAGTCTCAGTTGAAGATCGAACTCTGAACAAGTCAGTACCTTCTTGAATTTTACGAAAGCTTGTCGAGCTTGCTCAATGCGACATTTTACTTCCCTGTCCGATGCTCAGTCTTCAAAAAGCCACGATCCCAGGTATTTAAATTTACTCACTCTTTCTATGGATTTACTATTCAGTGTTATGGTGGAGTTTTCCAGCGCATATAAGTTTCTGGAGATGATCATGAATTTGGTCTTTTTGGTATTAATCTCTAATCCCATTCGCTCACTGTATTCTCCGATTATAGTGACAAGTTTTTGAAGATCGACTATGTTGTCACAAATTAAGACACCATCATCAGCATATCGTATGTTGTTGATCAATACTCCATTCACCTTGATTCCCATCTCTGTATCCTCCAAAGACTCTTGAAATATGGCTTCCGAATAAATGTTAAATAAAAGAGGGGAAAACACCCATCCCTGTCGAACGCCTCTTCTTATATGTATGGGCTTGGATATAGAATTGTCTATTTTTAGCTGTGCCGTTTGATGCCAGTACAAGTTTTCAATGCATCTTATGTCTTTTTGGTCTATATCAACTTTCTATAAAAAGGTTGCTAAGTCGATAATACTAGTATATCGGAAATGAGTCAATACTCACAATCTTAAGTAGTTTTTATTAATAAAGTTGGTAAATTTTGTGCTACCGGTTTCAAGGCTTACAATATTTGCCCCATCATCAGGCACCAGTACGTTATTTTTATTTTTATTAAAACCTAAAAGGTATCAGGTACAGGAAAGCTTTATAAACTAAGGTTTTAGTCTGAAAATCACCCTATTATGTTTATTTTGTTAAACACATTTAATAAGATGTAAAACGTGGCTACTTTGCACCATAGTTTTTAGTTTCTTCTTCTTAGAGTGGATATAACGTTACTCAAAAGAAGATCTGAACTTTTTATTATAAATATCTATTCAACAGGTCGTAATATAGCTCTTATTATAGCTGTTTTTAGTTATATTGCATAATTAAGAGATTATCCTAATTTTATTAGTGGTGCAAAGTATACCCTAGAAGAGTCATACTTTGCACCACTTGATATTTTAATATTTCGCTACGAAATACTTGATGGTGCATAGTAATCATATCTGATTTTAAACTTTGCACCATTTAAATACAAAAACATGTTGGTCGGCCCAGTTTTTTTTAATATAAACCTACCTACATGTATGAAAGAAGCTTAACGGGAAAGAACAGTGCTACATTTTAAACGAACAAACTTTATTATAAGTACAATAGTGAAAATACAAAGTCTGAATCTAATCCCACCACAATATGTCGCATTCTGGAACAATGTAAAATCCTCGTCTGGAAATTTTCTTGGCGCCAATTACATTGTCCCACGGATACCATATTTCGTCGCGTCTTTCTGGCCATTTCCAAAACTTTAACGATGTTATGGCTCCAGGGTAAACATTATCTTCATAAAAAAATAAAACGTACTCGCCAATATATTTTTTAACTTGATCTAATGCAGAGTTTTTAACTTTGTCGGCAATGTTTGTTCAAAGAGAACCTGAGGCAGTTTTTCATTAAATTCGCTTTCTTCTTCCACCTCTTGCAGCTCATTTATTTCATCATCTGATGAATCTCTGCCTACTGGAAAGTGGTCGTCCAAAGCAATATCGTTCTCTGAATCATCTACGACTTCTGACTCAACAGCTTGATGAAGTGTGGAAGTAGATGATGCTTCAGTTAGATCTTCTAAACTAATTTCAGAATGGGCAATACTTTGTCCTGCTGGAACATCTATTTTCTTTTTCTTCCCACGTGTCTTAAACTGGGTGGCTTTCTTTTTTTTTATTTTCCAAATATCGAATGAAAGTTTTTCGATATCTGACGAACTTAATTTATTATTTGTTGTATGACTATCAGTTATCACACTAGATTGCTGAGTTGTTTTTAACCGCTCCAAGAGCGGTGTAATATCACAAGGAACGATACCGCATTTCCTAAATTCCGACTTTAATATCTCATCGCACTTATTTTGTATTTTTTCGATTAATGATCGTAAAGGCGTTTTAAAAATGCTGTTTCTCAAGTACATTTGATCTACTCCCCACATGAGTTTCCTTATATTCAGATAAAATTTCCCTCCAGGCCTTTTTCATTGGGGCAAATAATGCAACATCTAGCGGTTGTGTAACGTGGGTGCTATTCGGAGGCAAAAATATAAAATGAATGTCGTGTTTTCGACACAAATCCAGGACTTCAATATTAATATGAGAAGACAAATTGTCTCCTAAAACGACCTTGTTTCCCTAAATTTTTTTAAGCCTGAGAAATAGGATAATGTTAAACCGATTTGCAAATGTTTGTGATTCGAACCAACCAGATGCACTATTTGCTTAACACGTACCAGAGGGGCCATTTTCAGTCCAGCACAAATGCTGAATTTGTACACCACATAAGGAAGTAGTAGCTCACCAGCTGCATTTCCACACATCATAAGAGAAATGCTACTTTTTGAAGAGTTACAAATTCCTTCAGAATATTTAACCCACCGTTTAGTTAATACCTTTTTTTGTCAAGGATCATCTGTTAGTTTGTCTCGTCAAAATTAAAAATAGCATGTGGCTCCACACCAGTTATGTTTGTTTTAAATTTTGTATGTATTCAGCCATTTGGTCTGCATTGAGTGCTGCTCTACTTCTTTTTATGTTTTGAGGCTATCCTTGCAGTAAGGTGCTTATGACGACTTTAATACCTTTTTTTGTCAAGGATCATCTGTTAGTTTGTCTTGTCAAAATTAAAAATAGCATGTGGCTCCACACCAGTTATGTTTGTTTTAAATTTTGTATGTATTCAGCCATTTGGTC